CCCAGTGTCCCACATGCAGATACCCAATTGTCTCAAATGGATTATCACTATTCTTATCTGACCATTGGACATAGTCACGTTTGGTTATAGAAAAAGGATACTGGTAAACCAAGGAAATGGCATCCTTCATTATAGAGAAAGGGTTGGAAAATTATTACCTTTGGCCAAATCCAGCATTTTTTTTTTGTCAGTCAAGTTTTACTGGAATATAGCCTTACCCAATCATTTCTATATTATCTCATTGTTTTCTAGCTACAATGGCAGTTGGGCAGTTGTGACAAAGATTATATGGATTATAAATATTGGGTTCTTTATGGAAAAAGTCTGCCAATTACTACTATAAGAGAATGCTAAGTAACCTCTGAAGTGATAAATAGATTACCATGTGCAATTTATGCTCATTTTTTTATTCTTATTTTTGGGAAAAAGATTCTTGCTAAGCATCTTCTGCTTATAACATTTCCCTCCACTGGCAAATGATTCCAGCAAGAAATGTGACAGGATTGACCAACTAAAGGAGCATTTTGGAGGACAGCATTTAAGGATCTAATTGCAAAAATACTCCCAAATCCTTCCTATAACTAGAATCAATTGAATGAAAACTCCCTGCATTATAAACTAGGTTGAAATATTTCTGGCCATGACTTATACTCATTTTGTTTCCTTTAGATTAAAAAAAATTAAATGGCTATTAGAGTATTACAAAAATTATTAGTCCTCAACAATATGAATCATTCAGGAAGTGCAAATCAAAACCACAATGAGATATCACTTCACACTTTCTAGAATGGCTAAAATAAAAGATAATGTCTAATGAGTGCTGGAGAAGGTGTGAAGATATTAAAATTTTGGAGGATGCTGGGGATTGAACCTAGGGTTTCACACATGCTAAGCTTATGCTCTACCACTGAACTACACCTCCAGCCTGGTGTGAAGAAACTAAAACCCTCATATACCTTTGGAGGGACTATAAAATGATATGGCCACTTTGGAAAACAACTTGGAAATTCCTTAATATGTTAAACATAATTACTATGTTACCTAGCAATTCTACTTCTTCTTTGGTTCAATTTTTTTCCCTTCCTCCCTCCCTCCCTTCCTTCCTTCCTTTCTTTTTTTAAGAGAAGGGATATTGCTAAGTTGCTCAGGCTGGCCTCAACTCCCAGGCTCAAGTGATCCTCCTGTTTCATCCTCCTGAGTGTTGGACTACAGGCTCTGTGCCCAATGCAACTCTACTTCTAAGTATATATACTCAAGAAAACTAAAGACATACTGTCTACCCACAAACCTGTACCCACACATTGTAAAAATACTGTCACTGAGCTGTGACTATACTAAATACCATTTTAAATTAGCCAATTTTATTTTCTAAAGATGGAAAAATCAGTAAGCTAATGTTCATAGCAGTATCATTCACAACATCCCAAAGTGGAAACAACTCAAATGTCTAAGTGTGAATGAATAAACAAAATGTGGTAGATCCACAAAATAGAATATCATTTGGCAATAAAGAGGAATAAATAGCTGGTATATGCTGCAATATTAATAAACTCTGAAAACACTGTGTTAAGTCAAAGGTGCCAGACACATTAGACCACATATTATGATTCCATTTATATGAAATGTGCAAAAAAGTAAAATCTATAGAGAGATAGAAAGTAGAGTGAGGGATGACAAAATACTCATGAGGTTTATTTTTTTTAGGGTGCAGAAATGTACTGATAATGGTGATAGTGGCACAACTGTAAATGTATTAAAAATCACTGACATGTACAATTAAAATTGGTGAATTTTGTGTGGCATACAAAGTTATTATTTGATAAAGCTGTTAAAAACAATTAAAAGGCTCCACAGACAGCAAGATATCCAGAAAAATGTTTTATGTCATTTTTGAAACATATGCATTTTTCATGAACAAAGATAAGACAAGGGCAATTTAAAATTAGAAATATAAATTGAACTGTACATTACTGCTGATGAGAAGCTATTAGTGGAACTGACTGTAAACTATAAAGCGTGTCTTTGCCTTTTCATGACCTTTAGCTGATGGGAACTAAGAATTTTAGCAGTCTGAAGAGAAGCTAAATCCTATCAAGAAAGAACACTCTGCATTTAAACTATAAACTGCAGCACCAAAAAAAAAAAAAAAACCATGGTCCAAGATTTTATGCTTCAGCTTGTACTCATGTCATCACTGTGTGCTGCATACAGGAGTTATTTATGGCCTGAATCATACAGGGAGCTAATCTTATCTCAGGCAACCATGTTGTTTGCATCAACATTAGATAAAACTGTGTTAATGACAGAAGTGTATGTCTTAAATGTAGATCTCTATGTACTGAACAATCACACTTGGTCAAATGAAGCTTCATGCTATTTCTCTGTTAATGTAATGTTTATTTGGTGCACAAAGGCAGGTTTCAACTTTATTTTTGCATCTGATCCTATGCAGATGGTGATGTTAAAGATTAGTACTTAAGCCATTCTTCAATCTAACTGAATAAATGTATGATCTTAAGAGTTTATGGGAGTAGAAGACCTTTTACAGTTCACTTGAAACTGGAACGAGATAACCTTATCGTTATTTTAGCACCACTCTGCTTCCACTAAGTAAGGCCATTTTTGGTACAGTGATTTGTTAGACAATTAGGATTCCAAAAAAGGACTTGTCACTGTAGACTTCATTCTTGTCCATCTGATGAACAATATTCTCTGGGTGTGTGCTTATTACTGGGAAGAATTTGCTAGGCTCTTAGATTTGCCCTTAATGTCATTTTTTTCTGAAGAGAACTCTTTAATCTTTAAAAAACTCTTAGGGGAAAGTGACCATTTTTTAAATTGGTACATTATAATTATACATAATAGTGAGAATCACTATTTCATCTTCATACATGCATACAACAGAACAATACAATTTGGTCAGTTTCATTCCCCAGTAGGTAACCTTTTCTTCCCTTTATCCCCTACCCATCCTTGGTCTTTTCTCTCTACTCTACTGGCCTCCTTTCTATTTCAATAAGATCCTACACTCTTTTTCTCCTTTTCTCTATATAGAGTCCAACTAATGAGAAAAAACACATGACGTCTGACTTTCTGAGTTTGGCTTGTTTTGCTTAACATAAATAAATGCTCTCAAAGTTCAAACATTTTCCTCAAAAGGACATGATTTCATTTTTTTCATGACTGAATAATGCTGAGGGCCATTGCCAAGTAGGAACGATGCATCAAAATCTCCTTGCCAGTGTACCCCATGCTGCTTAGAGGACATTTGATGGGACATTGCATGTATGCTTTAGTAAGGTGACCTTGCTCAAAGACCAGGGCGGATCCGGGTTTAGAGCTGATCAGGTTTGAGGAAGTTTCCCGCTCCTGGAGTTTAAGGCATTCCCGTTTAAGACAATAGGGGTTTTAGGGAAGTTGGAGGTTGAAGATTATTGCTGCTGGGATTAGGGTGTTCCTGCTGCTTGTTCCCGTTGAGTTCTCCTGAGATTCAAATGGGATTTGGAGTAGGTAAATTGGGCGGAGTGATTTTAGATTGCGCCAGAACCTGTTTGTGTAGAGGCCAGTGTGAGTTCGGGAATAAAGGATTGCTGTTTGAATCTACAAGGTGTGTGGTGGCTCGTGATTCTGTGCCAAGCCCAGACATTGGCAGAATAAAACACCACTGTGTGTGTGTTGTGCGTGTGACACATTGAATTTTCTTCAATCTAACTGAATAAATGTATGATCTTAAGAGTTTATGGGAGTAGCAGACCTTTTACAGTTCACTTGAAACTGGAACAAGATTAACCTTATCTGTTATTTTAGCATCATCTATTCATCCACTGATAGACACCTAGGCTGATTCTATAAATTGGCTATTGTGAATTAAACTGCTATATCATGAATATGCATATATCACTATAGTATGTGACTTTAGTTCTTTAGGATAAGTATCAAGGAGTGGTATATAACTGGGTCATGTGCTGTTTCTGTTCCTAGTCTTTTCAGGAACCTCCTTACTGATTTCCATAGTGTTCGTACTAATTTATGGCTCCATGAAGAATGTGTAAGTGTTAAGGGGAGATAACTGTTTCAGACATCTGTATTTCTCAATTCCAAGGCAGGAAAAAAGCTCTGAAGAGAGACTGTGGGGATTGGAATAATCAGGTGTAAAAATAGTAAACTGGGGGCTAGAAAAATCAGGACAACAAATTTCCTCTGCTTCTATGTGCTAACTCAAAACTGCTATATGGACTACAAATTCCTAAAGATTGTATCTTTTTAACTTTAGTATCCCTAGTTCTAGTACAATGCTTCAGTAAGTGTTGAATAGATGAATGACTGTATTCATATATGCACAAACAGATTAAATATGGTCCCTCTTCTGGATGCTTCAGTCCAGTCTTATGAAAGTTGAGAGAAGCTGATATTATAGAATTCTTGCAAGTTTTGAAATAGCTGGGGAAAAACTGGAATTACAATTTGAGAGAGATTGAGGAAGTAGTTCCAAGGAAGGTTACTGCTAATTCCAGGCAAATAGTTTAAAAATCATAGTCTCAGGAATATTAAAATCCTCACTAAAACAATTAAAAGAAAATTAAAATATTAGTTGCTCTCTGTAATTTTTAAAAAGACATTGTGAAAACTGTGCTAATGACAGTTGTTACAATATAACTATCCTTAGGAGATGGTAGGTGATATATGAAGCACACGTGTATGTGCGTATATGTTCCATGCCTAGGTGATCACGCACAAGATATTTCCTGGAAAGCCTAGAAACCCACTAAATTGGAAGATGGCCAATGTAAATGTCACTGTTAACTTATTAACTGCACTGTAAGACAGGGATAGTTCTCTTTTTAAAGACTGAGGGAAGAACAGGCCATGTGCTTTTGCAGCAAAATAATTTCAGAAAGCAAGGACTATACTGAAATAACAGCAATTTCTTTTCATACACATAATGTTAAGGTAAGTATGCTAGAAATGGAAAGAAAGAGGGCTTCCATTTCTCTAATTACCTTAAAGATGTGTGCTTTGAGGATGTGATGTCCCAATTCAATAGTCTGCTGTCGGTTTAGTTTTCCCTCTTGGCGAGAAAACCAGAAGGCAAGTAATGTGTGACCACTCCTGCAAAGAAAAAGAAACTCATTTTAGAAAGTTTAATGACTCCATTCTGCTTTTGGTGGGGAAAGCAGGTCCAGTTATACCTCAATGAAACTGTGTCATCAACCAGTTTCTTGTGGAGGAGCACTTGCTACTTGGCAAATAATGAGTATTGGAAGGTTCCTAGCTTTTATTAGTCCTTTACCTAAATCACATGTATGAATAGCATAAAACATCATTTCTAGTTGGCTTATACCCATCCCACACACAGATGGCACTAAAAGATTTTCATTTTTATTTTCTGTCTCTGTCAGCAACTCTCATTTCACCAATGCTTAAATGTCAGGGTTCCTCGGGATCTCTATATTGGTCTTTCCTATTCTGTCCTATGCCTGGATTAGATCATTCATTCTCTGAGTCTGCCTCTATATACATCATGGATAGCCTATATACTTTTTCTCTGCCTAGACTTCTCTTCTCAACCTTAGACCAGTATCCATCTAACTATCTATAGGATTCCTCCATTTGGAGGTCCCAAAATACCTGAACTTGACATGTGTTAAACTGGATTAACAATCTCTTTCCTAAATGAAGTCTACTCTGATCAGTTTCTATACTTTCCCTCAAGCTGAATAAAGTACTTTCTTTTTAGTGCTACTAGTATAGATTGTATATACCTCTAGTACAGTATTTACCACACTGTCACATGCTCTCTCTTCCACTAGACTAAGTTTCCTAATGGTACCCATCTCCCTATATCTTGTTAACAGATTCCCAATTTGATCATGAAAAGGAAAGCTCTTTTTTCTTCCTCTGGATATTGTTTTGTTTGCTCAAAATGCCCTGAACTGCTTCCTAAGTCATGTGGTAAGCTGGTGAAGAAGACAAAGCTAAAAGGGGTGCTGGGATAAAAGAATGGCATAAAAATACAGCCTGAGCTCTGACTGTATAGCATCTAAGTTGTCCTAATTTTGAACTTTTCATTTAATGAAATAATAAATTTCTCTTTCAATTGGATTTCTTTTCTAGCTTGAAACATTCAAATGATAGTTATTTAAATGTCAATCTGTCTGTATGCATGTGTACGTATATATACTTGTGTATGTATGCATGTACACACAAATAAAACCATGGATGAGTCATTTAAAGTAATAATTCTTACATCATGAAGGCTACAATAATTTCACTATTAATAACAAGATAGAATTTTGATGTGCATCTTTATATTTGACTTGCAGTGCTTGCTATTTCTCTTCAGTGCCTGACCAACAATGAAAGCAAGCACTATCATCTTTCTAACTAGATTATATTAATACACAGTATTTGATATATGTACTGTGTGTGTGTGTGTGTATGTATGTGTGTGTGTGTGTATATATATATATATATACATACATACAGAGTATGTGTATTTCAATGTTTAATTGTGAAAGAAATCTGGATTATTTATATTCTCCATAATGCCTAACACAACTTGTTACGTATAAAAATGTTTAATAAAATTTTTTAATTAATTATTTATTTTAATTAGATATATATGATAGCAGAATGCATTTTGATTCATTGTATACAGAATGCATTTTGATTCATTGCTACTTACAACTGCAGCACAACTTTTCATAATTTGTCATTTAGGAAAGAATACTGGATCACCTTTGGAATGCATCTTCTCAGCACATTTGTTAGCTTTTAGCAATTATGGATACTAGAACTGTGTCTCTACTATCCACCAGGTTAGTGTCAGCAGACTTCTGTATGCTACTAGTAACTCAACTTTTCCATTCCTTTCACTTGGAGTCACAGAAGAGAAAAATGAAACTATTATCTCAGTTTCAAGTCTAATGGCCAAATTAAACAGACAGAAAAGCAGCAAATAAATTTTTGCTGGTGTTGCTTCCCTGAAAGGAGGCCCAAATGTCTAATGAGCTTTTTTCTTTTATACTGAATTCTGACTACTTACTTAGCCAGGTTTAGTTTGAAGATATCTCACACTGAATTCTGACAAATAAGCATTCTTTCTTTTTTTTCAAAGCTTCGATAAAGAACCAGGAGAACAGAGGTGGGACAGTGTCCATCTTACACAGGAATTGTCTCAGATTTCATGTCAGTAAGATTTTGAAAGGAAATTCTAATTTTTGGCTTCCCAAAATTTCTCAATTATAGTGGATACAATGCCAGCATGTTAAGTGGATAAGATTACACATAATGGAAAGGAGGTTTTTTGACTGGGAGAATGTCCAGAAAAGTATAGCCTACGTGGAATTATCACCATCATCTGAGGGTCTTAGACCAGGGTTGTTCTGTACTCTGGAACAACCAATCTGGAAATTGCCACTGAACTTTTATTTATCTCATCAAAGCTCAATTTATTTGGTAGGCTGTTTTTAAGAGCATAGATAAGTTAGATTACAATGAAAAGCATTTATAAGATATTCTTGAGATCTAAAATTTCTATACCATTATTAGCAGTGAAATTATTGTAGCTTTCCTGATGTTAAGAATTATTACTTTAAATGACTCATCCACGGCTGTATAATAATGACAAGAATCCCTGAATATTAGGCTTCTGATCTACTACCTATGCTTTAGGCTATGAATCAGAATCCATGCCTATTAGGATTAAGGTTAAAAAAACTTGTGCTTGGCAAAGAAATGAATATTTAGTTAGACATAGAATTGACTCTGCCCTATTTTCATTCCACTGCCATTAACTAAGGAATCCTGCTATGATGCTTTCATTTCTCCAGTGTCCATCTCATTTTCCTACAGATGACAGTAGGAAAATGAGATGGACACTGGAGAAATGACACTTTTACTGGTGTTGATCAAGTACTGAGGAGAAACAGCAAGCAATACAGATCAGGGATAAGATAAAAGTGATAATTATAGTTCATTTATTTTTTAATAGAAGTATGCTACTTTATTCATAAAAATGATTCTGATCAGCTCATTAGACTCAAAACTTGTGGTGGTTAGGACACAAAGGCTAACACCAATTCAAATCATATACTAGCATTTTCATTTGTATCTTATTCTTCTGACAAAAATGGTATCACTAGCTAACCTGCAGTCTGAGTGTGTTTTACTACACTCAGGTATGTTTTTTTTCCCCTTATCATTAGTTGTTCATTCCTGAACCTCATTATTCTTTTTGACTCCTAGCCTGACCATGTTCTGAGATTACTGATTGCCTCTTATTTGCCAGATAAAGTGGTTTTCTTTTAGTTTTTGATTTTTTTTCTCCCTCCAGCATTAGGCCTTATTCACTACCTCCATTTTTGGAAACCATTTCTTGATATCTATGATACTACCTTGGTATTTTTTAAAAAAATCTTATTCCTTCAGGGATTTAATTTCTTTGCTATATGTTCTAATTCTTCTCTAGGTAGCTCTCTTTGCCTCCCGACTTCAACTTTCACCTCAATGTGAATGACTCCCACAGTGACACCTCAAACTCTTGATATTTAGTTTGGCTTTTCTGACTGCCTGCTGGATCTCTTTACCTCCTGGATCTCTCAACCTCCATGACTGTCAAATGAAAGTCATCTTTTGAAGTTGAAGCTTTCCCTTGAACCCAAATATCCTCAAGTCTTCTGTATTTTTTTTTCAAATGTTGCCAGAGACATAAAACCTAGTGGCTGTTTTTCCTCTTTTCTTTATACTTTCTCACCTGGATAATTAATTGAAGTGTCTCATTCTCTCCATTTTATTCTTCACTGCTCACTCTTTGGCCCATCCCAAGAATATATATTTCAAAATCCTCATCAAAATTCTGCTAAAAATTCTTCATTTGCTTTATATTTCCTCTGATATATCAATTAAACCCTTAGAATGGTATTTAAAGGTTTTCCATTATTTGTACCTTGTCTTTTTGTTGAACTTTTCCACTTTATCTTAACTTTGAATACCAGACTCAGTAAATATTTGTAAAATTTCAAGCATGCTTTCCCTCTGCCTATATTCCCATTCTTCATTTCAGTTCATACCATCTCCTTTGCGAAGCTTTCCCTGGTACCTATGAGAAACTCAGAGGTTCTTTCTTTATGTTTCTATAGTACCTGGTACATAGCATGAAGCACCTAGGCAGGGCAATACTGTTCTCATGTCAGTCTTTCCGCTAGAATCTACTAAGGATAGTAGTCATGTTTTTTCACATATGTATTCCTAGGTAATAAATATTTGCATAATGAATATGTAATAATAGTTTATTTATATACCATCTTGTGGTTTTGAAAATACTTTAATAATTTTTAAATTCTCACAAAAATAATACCATAGGCACAGGAATATATATTACTCCTAATATTGGGTGGAATGTGAAAAAGAAATACACTAATGTAAAGAACAATATGTTCACTTGTATAGTACAAGCTCTGAACGTTTAATATAATTAAAATCAGTAACCATTAATTTTGACATTTTTTGATTAGCATTTTGGGAAAGAGTAGCTAATAAGGTAGAGTGAACTCTAATATATGTGATGTGATTTTAGGCATGACTGAACACAACTACGTTTTTCCCTCTGTAATTAAAGATGATAGTAATAAAAATTGATTTAATTTGAGTTCAAATGTTCATGTGTTATAAAAGCAATGGGTTGGGGGATGGTCTCCATAGTGTTTATAATGAGATTGCCCTTGTGATTCAAAGTTACCCGGCAAATTTCCCTGTCTGCATTCATAAAACTGCCTGTTTGATTCTGAAACAGTCAAGCATACTAGGTAAAAACCTAGTTCTGTACTTAGTAATTTTATAACTAAGGACATGCTTCTTAACCTCTCTATAAAACAGAACTGTGGTGAGAATTAAGACATATTAAGTGAATTATATTTTGTACTCGTTTTGTATACTCCATAGTAACTAGCACATTGCTACATTAAAGGAATGACTACGTCCTCAAACAAAACTTTTATCTCCATTTTATTCTTCACTGCCCACTCTTTGGCCCATCCTAAGAATATATGGGATGAAATGTAACACTCTATCCTTACCCCTCCTAACTCTACCCACTATTTGCAGCCAAA